GGGAAGGTCACCCGCGTGGGCACAGTGGGCAGGAGGCCGCCACCCTGCGGGGGGAGGGGGGCGGGAAGGTCACCCGCGTGGGCACGGGCGGGCAGGAGGCCGCTGCCCAGCTGGTGCGGAGACGGCGTCTCTGGGGATCGCCCTCCCGGGGGCCGAGTTTGCCCAGTGACCCCGGCTGTGTGTCCGCATCCTCGTCTTCACCCGGGCGCCAGCCTCCGGGCTTGGGCGCCACGCACCCCAGTGTCACGGCGTGTGGGCGGCCACCCCGGCCCCCTCCCCTCCCGCGTGCGCCTCGGTCCTGCGACGCCCCCCTCACGGGGGCCGGGGCCACGCGCCCTGACCGCCCCGTCCGGCCGCAGGTCCTGCAGATCTGCCCCAAGGACATGCGGGCCGACATCTGTGTGCACCTGAACCGCAAGGTCTTCAAGGAGCACCCCGCCTTCCGGCTGGCCAGCGACGGCTGCCTGCGCGCCCTGGCCATGGAGTTCCAGACGGTCCACTGCGCGCCGGGCGACCTCATCTACCACGCGGGGGAGAGCGTGGACAGCCTCTGCTTCGTGGTCTCCGGCTCCCTGGAGGTGATCCAGGACGACGAGGTGGTGGCCATCCTAGGTAGGGCGGGCGGCCGGCCCCCCCGGGGCGTGGGGGCGGCCCAGGCCGGCTCAGCAGCCATCTGGCCTGCAGGGAAGGGCTTGAGCTGAGCCCTGAAGATTGAATGAGCAGGTCCGCTGACCCGTTGGGGGCCCCGGGTTGGCGGCAGATGGGGCTGACGGGGCCGCCGCTCCGCGAAGTCGGGAACGAGGCGGGGACACAGGCCCCCGAAGCCAGGGTCACGCGGCGAGGAGGTGACTCCCACACGTGGCAGCTGTGTTCTGGGGGGACGTCACCCCGAGCGGTCATGGCCGCCCTGGAGATCCGTCTCTCACATGGCGTGTTCTGGAGGTTCCGGGTGGCGGGGAGCCGCCGGGCCCACGCACCCCTCGCCCCTCTGTCCTCAGGGAAGGGGGACGTGTTCGGGGACGTGTTCTGGAAGGAGGCCACCCTGGCGCAGTCCTGCGCCAACGTCCGGGCGCTGACCTACTGTGACCTGCACGTCATCAAGCGGGACGCCCTGCAGAAGGTGCTGGAGTTCTACACGGCCTTCTCCCACTCCTTCTCCCGGAACCTGGTGCTCACCTACAACCTGCGCCGGAGGGTGAGCGGGGGCCCCGCGCCGGGCGGGGGGGGGGGTGGGCAGCGGGGGCCCTGCCAGGGGCCGGCATCTGAGAGTGGTTGGCTGGCGTATGTGAAGAGGCTGTGACTTGGGGGTGGTTGGGTCATGAAGAGTGTTGGTTTGGGG